CCAGCTACCATCTCAGAATGATTTATGGCCCCGCAGCACATATTTCATCTTCATTCTTGTTTACACTATTTTCACGAGGGAAATTAAGCCATGGCAAGGATGTTTGCTCATAAAGACGGTGAGGAGGACGATTCTTCCTGGAAATGATCTTCGTAAGAGTGGAATGATGTCAAATGGGAGCAAAATGTTGTTCACTGCTGTTTGGACGAAAGCTGTTTGTCCGAGATGCAATACGGTTTCATGGCAGCTTTATGTGAAAATCCTGCCCTATATGCTATTCAATGCTGTGGTGGGGGGGTCACATACTCCTTTAAGAAAATCTGATGTCTCAGACACCCCCATAGCTCCTCAGCACCATACAGGAAAGCTTAGTGTGCGTGTGGCTATCTTTTTATATGGCTTGTGAGTCACAGGTTTTTCTAACCCAGGCAAAGGTTTCATAATCAGCAGGCACAAACCTTTCTGCACGGTGTTGTAGCAGTGTAGCCAATTTGCTGTACATGCTGGGGTGTGTTTGTGTAAGTCTCTGTATGTGCCTGTTGGTGTACTTGTGAGTCTCTGTGTTTACATGAACCCACTGAATTCCCTGTGAACTCTGGATTTTGGGATTCAGCTGCTGTGTGTCTGCAGTAATCAGAGATGGAGCCGGGGGCGTAAATAGCCAAATTCATACTGTCAGTTGTCTTTTTGCTGTTCTGTTCTGAATTATTTGTGAGACACTCTTCTCACCTTTGTGTGAGAGTTTCTGGGGTTGTCTCTTTAGATTTGGGTAGATGAGCCTTGTCTTCCTTCCCAACACTGGGCATTAGAGAAGATTTTGAGATCAATTTCTCTGTATGTCACTGCCTCAAAGTGTTGGATGTATAGTTTATACCCAAGATTTTCTTAACTAAAACCCCAAAAACTCGATCTGCAGTAAATATGAAGCTAATCTAGTTGATTGTCCCTTTAGCATTATGCAGTGTTCCCCAGTCCGGCCCCAGGGAACCCACAGCCGGTCCATGTTTTTGTTCTCTCCCAGCTCTCTCTGCAAAAACGTGGACTGTCTGTGGGTCCCCAAGAACCAGACAGGGAAACACTGACCTTATCTAAGACCAGAGCCTGCTAGCACAGTGATCAGAGCTGCAGGACCCAGAAATGGGAGATGCTTTATTTGGGTCCAGGAGCAGGTGAAAACAAGAGTGAATCAAGTGCAGAAGAGTGAAAAATTAGTGTTCTGGCTTGGGAATCAGGGTAAGGGTACATGCTTTGGTGTCAAGAGAACCCAATCTGATATGATTTGGGAGTAACACAAAGGTGGAGTCATCACCTGACCATATCCACCTTGGCATATAAAAACCTCTCCCATTTAGACACATGCTCCAGTCGATATTTCATTAAATCTTACCCAGTGAAAGAACTTTCCAGAACCTCTGCAGAGTTGAGTGAATCAGTTGATGTCACCGTTGCCATAGTGATGTGCTCACACCAAAGGAATAAGCTGTCGAGTGCTGGAATTCATCAGCCCTCATCTCAGTACAGAAGTTATGCTGTTGTGTGTCAGACCCTAGGATGTCCTGCATGGCGTCTAACACAGAACGGGTTCGTTATTCCTCCTTCACTGGCAGGGAGTTTTGTGACACCATTTTTTTTCTTGTAGACAATAACATGATTGACATTGTTATGTATGAATGAGTAGGTGACCTATTTCTGTGTGCTACTCTATGTGGGATGTTCATTTCAACATGCACATCTTGACCCATTTACATAGCTGGATATTTCCTGAAGCCTTTAAGTCGCTTAACTGTAAAGTCATTCTGGTAGAAATCATAAGAACCTAACAAAATCAGGCACGGAGATATTACCTCCAGCCTCTGTACTGCATGCTTATAGTGTGAGTGACTGTAATAATGTTCAGCAGCTTTTGTTTGCTAAGACGGTTGAGCTGTTTGTTTCTGATTGGCTGATCATTCCGACGCTGTGTGGGGTCCCCGGGACCCTGCTTCCTGCTCAGCTGATGGATTTGTTTACTGTCACAGCTGGGGTTCAGCTGCCTAACCATGTGATCTCCATTGTTGCCATGGCGTTTTGATTCCGCTCTGCTCCTACTGTCTGGTCCTGGTTGGAGAACGTCTCATCCTCATCCTCCCATTGCTCATTACGTTCGGCTTCAAGGCCACTCGCCAGGCCGTGCTCAGCAGCCTTCACGCTCACGCACGTCTCCTTCTCATTACCTGATTTTATTTCCATCTTCTGCTGGTAGTATGTATATTTTGCACTAACTTTCTTGTACAATAGTGTTAGGATCTATTATATACTACTAAAGAAAACTGCATAGACCATTTTTCTTCTTTAAAAACATGGATTATTGTGTAAATTGCTGATGATTGAAATGTAATGTATTATGGGTTGAAATGCACATTGGTATATATTACATTTCCCCATGATAATCAGGACAGTAAAGCATGATTTGTATCATAAAGCCCAGGAGAAACCTGGCCACTTATTCCTAATGATGCTGTGATGTAGCATTACTGTTTCAACACCATGTTGGCATGTTAAACATCAGCCATTGTCAGTAATATTGCTGTTCACCAGGATGCAACATCTCCACTGAGTCTGCAAAGGTGCTAATATTTAAAGTTTGATATTTTTGAAAAATACTTTAAATCAGATTTCCTTGCCTCTTCACCTCCCTTAACCCTCCCTGAAATCCCTACATTGGTACAATGACTTTCCCGTGTAACCCTCCGCACAGTGACTTTATCATTTACTGGCCTCTTGTCAGCATACTCTGTAATGCTTATAGTAGGGTGATCAGATAGTCCATGTCAGGGGGACACTTTGAGCTAGGGCAGGTTTTGTAAACTACCATTTCAATCAAAAGAACCTGGATTTTCATTTAATAGCATTCGCCTTTGGACATGGGTCCTGTTGCTCTTCTACCTGAAGATAAAGGTGCATAACACGTATCCTGAAATAGGAATAATACACTTTTATTTAAATCTTTTATAGTGTTTTTACGCCTATTAACTAGGGTGACCAGATAATCCATGTCAGGAACACTTTGAGCTACTTTAGGTTTTACAATCTAATTTAAAACTGAAAGGCTCCTGTGGCTAATTAGTTCAGTTCTTATTGTGCTTTTACTGGTTTGTTTCCTTGATTGAAAGACTCATCCAGCTGTTTCACATTAACATTAGTTACATGTATGATTATAGGACACTGACCAATCAGCACACAGCAAGAACCTAGTGCTTAATACGTACAGGAAATGATGGTTATGCTGTATTTACTGTGGTTTATTTAAACAAACCACAAGATGGAACATGTGAAACAATTTTGATAAAATTATAGGGGGTGAGATTTCTTGAGTGAGGGTGACTGAGGGATAATTGTGACGGTCAAGTTAAAGGAGCACTGAATTGTCCTCATGGCTCTCATTTCAAAGTCAACGATCCAGGAAGGAGTTTGACCTTTCAGCAGAGCAGCCATCGAGCTAATTAAACGTGACTCACAAATCTCTCTAACAATCAGAAGCACCCATGTGAATGTTGGCTAGGTGCCACAGGCCAGACCTAGGATGAGAGAGAGGCTCACTGGATGACCTGCAGTGAGAGCTGCTTCTCAGTGTCTGCTGTACTTTGAGTCACCAGTTGACTTTATCATAGGGAGGAAAAGGAATTTGGAGGTTGGAAGACGAAACATAGTGCTTTACATTAAGTGCATTCATAGAACATTCATAAGCAACATGTAAGTATACATTAAATTCCTAACACACCTTAACAGCTTTAATATACAGTGGTACTTCAGAACTCAAACTTAATCTGTTCAGAACTAAGGTTTGAATCCTAAAAAGTTTGAGTTCTGATTGAAGTTTCCCCATAAGACATAATGGAAAACCAATTAATTGGTTCCCGACCCCAAAAAAATTACACCTAAATATGTTTTTTTTAGCATTTAAACACAAAATGAACCAGATAAAACAAGACGAGCATATGCTGTACTAAACACATCTAAGCACATTTATCAAAACAGTAATTTGTAAAGTAAGAAAATAAATGTATCCAAACAATGTGTCAAGTTTAAAAAAAAAAACAATGTGTCTTGCCCCGATCGTCCGCTCCTTCCGTGTGCCACGCCCCCTCGTTAACTCCGTGTGGAATCCCCGTGTGATTAGCTGTTTCTGGTTGTTGTCAGCTGTATTTAGTCCGTTTCAGTTTGTTTCCCCAGTCCGGTCATTGTATTGTCCGTCTGCGTTTTGCCTGCCGTACCCTGCCGATACCCTGACGTTTGCGCCTTTGTCTCCGTTCTGTTGCCGCTTGGCACAACAGTATTATTATAATTAAATGTATTAATGGTTATTATTAATGTTATTAAAATAATAAGAAATCTTTATTTTATTATATAATTATTACTGTTACTGTCTATATATATATTCAGCTAGTGTAAACATGCACGATGCTATCACAGCGAATGCGAGGCTGAGACTGAAGCTTTACCCTTTGTTTCCACTGAGAGATGTGCCACGTGACTCATTTCCCCGCACGTACAAGTTATCTTAGGTTGGCGTTCACGGTTTGACTTCTGAGATTCAGATCGAGTTCTAGGTCATTTTTTTCAAACTGGTTGGTTCGACGTTTAAGAAATTCGAGTTCTAATGAGTTCGAGAACTGAGGTACCACTCTACATTAATAACAAACATTATATGATTATAATACACATATATTATATCATAATTGCATAATCATATAATGTGTTACTACAGTATATTAAAACTCTTAAGGTATGTTAGGATGTTAAGGTATACTTACATGCTGCCTATGAATGTTCTATGAATGCATTATAATTGCATTGTGAAGGTGCACTGAAAGTTCTATGAGTGTATTAATGTGCAGTTAATGTGTAAAGCATTACCTGACAAACTAAGCTATGGAAAAATGCTTGGGGAGGGATTGTGAAAATACAGGCTGGTAAGAAGCAGTAATTTATACAATTACTATACTATTGCCTTTTCTCAGGTGGCGTGTCTTCAGGACTTCTTCAGTGACGATGACATCTTCATCGCCTGCGGCCCAGAGAAGTTCCGCTATCAGGATGACTTCCTCCTGGATGAAAGTGGTAAGAGATAAGATGTCAATTTGTTCTCCAGGGCTGAACTGCATTGTGTTATATTTAGTGGGGTAAAAGAATTCAGATCTTGATGTGAGACATGTAATGTGTTTCAGTTTGCTGTATTCTGAAAGTCAATGTTCATCTCCACTCGATTTTCAAAAGTAGTCCATTTTGGGCACTCTTGTGTCAGTTATTACAGTTTAGGTTCGTCCCTCCATTAGTTATGCCTGCCATGTCACATGACCCTACGCCAGACACTCAGCACACTGCAGCCATACATGGAGGAGCCTGGGCTGAGGTCTGTCATTATGGCTCAGTCTGACTGTGAGTCACTGTGTGTTGCTGCCTGATGTATTAGGGCAGCTGCCTCACTGCATGGATGTCCAGCGCTGCTGTTTTTCTTTTTGAACCGTATAGATCAGGGGTCTTCCACCTTTTTCAGGCCTGGGACCCCATGGTGGATAGAGAGACAGCAGAGACCCCCTCTATGTGCATTATAAAATGATACTTGGAAAAACATTAGTAAACGTTATTGATTGAACTTTATAATTGTTACATTTTACATTACATTTCTATTTCACTTCACAGATTTTTAAGGTGTGTCTGTGTATGGCTCAGGTAACTTAGTCAACATTGGGCTGTGTATAGTGTTTCTTGTCTTGTTTTAATACAGGCATTTAAAATACAAGACGAATTAAGCGGAACGGGCACAGTGTCTACACTGCTTAGCTAAAAACAATTGATTTGATTATGGTGCACATTCCTCAATGCATTGTTTCATGTGCTCATGCAATATCTCAACATTTTTCCATCCTTATTTGCATTCATTTCTCACCAAGATCTGTATTGATGATAGGTGAGTGGAACCACTCTATAAAGTATTCTTACAGACTTTCAATGGAGGTAAGGTCAAGACTCTGTGGAGGCCAGTACATTGGCTTTTAAGTAGAGCTTGCTGATTTAAATTCACACAGTGACTTTTTTTGGCCAGGCAGTGTGTATTGCAGTTGAGGTTATATGTGAACATAAAAATGCAAATAAATAAACAAAATGGTCAAATTATGGAATTAACACACATTCTATTCTATTGGTTATTACCTCATTTATAATATTATATGACTGTATTGATTAACATAGCACGTTCTCGCCTTGCATTACGTTAGTCTGTATTGTCCCAGCGGGACACCTGTATAATACCATTTGAGCTGAACAGTCTAGATGACAACCAAGCAAGCGGGTTTAATTCATAGACCAATATGCAGTCAATGTTTATCAGTGGTTTGACTTATGAGTGGTCTGAGTTTATGTAAAAAAAGTGTATAGGGTGACCTGTAGACACGCTCTGTGTTTGATGTGTCACCATGGATACAAGCTTTGAACTAAACTGTCTGTACAATTTGACAAAAGATAGTTTGTCATTCCACGATGATTCATTAGACCAAAGGCTAAAGGTTTGTACAATGAAGAACAGTCTCTCAAATGCATTTGTCACCAGCATGCTACCTGTTCACCAGTACAGATAGACATGAAGGCACAAATATCATTGTGTTCATGGAGTGGGGGGGGGGGGTAAGCTCCCCCTAAACCACAGGCAGAAAATTCATCTAATTATTCTCTGGCTTTGATTGACCTCAGCAGTGAAAGCTGACTGATTCTGTTTATGAGCAAACAAGATGATCAGAGCTGTCAGAATGAGTTGGCTTCCATTAATTATCCCCCAAATCCCATTGCAGTGCCTCACAGGTATCTGATTTTCTGTTTGCGCACAAAATAAATCCAATAAACTCCTTTAAAGAGCCGGAAATTTACTCCAGTTGAAGAAAATGAAGGTGGGCTGTAGTCCGCATCGCTATAAAGCATTCAGCAGTGGCAGTCTGGGTGTGGCAGAGATAAACACCAAACTCTATGGTCAGAATCTGCTTCTAGAGCTGAATAGGAACCGATTTAGCCCAGATTAAATAATTACAGATGCTTAAATAAAATCTGAGCTGGCACTTTATCTCATTACAAAGGGACTTTTTGTGAGACAGCTTTGCAGCTATTCTTGGCCCTGCATCTTTTGAATGTGTATCTTAACTGTAGTACTGTCCTCAGGGGCAAAAAATCCACAATTAATCACATGTGAGCACAAATAAATTTAGCCGTAGGACATGAAGCTGTTTCTGTACTTCATGCCTGGTTGTTGGCAGGCTTTTACAGAATGTATTCAAACATTAAGGCACATTCGCTTTATATATATACTCAGTCTTAGTCATCACTTACTTAACCACATACGAGTCTAACAAACCACATGAATGAATGCGGTGTTTATTTGTCTTTTATGCAAAGCCGGATATATAAATAGCTGGATCTCTGGCTGGCAACACTGAGAAGGATGTTTGCTGGAAACGTGTAAAAGTGACAGGCGTCTAGTTCACTGCCCGTGATCTCGTCCCACAGAGTGCCGGATGGTCAAATCCACATCCTACGGCCGGATTTCCTGCATGCCCGGCCGGAGCTCCCCCCGGAGTGGCCCCTCCCGGAGGAGCAAGTCTCCAGCCTCCACAGGCTCAGGTGAGGGAGTCGCACATGCCAGGCCTCACCCCCCCAGCACACATCAGGAGGTGTTTACCCACAGAAAAATGATTCAGAGGAAAGCCGCAGCCTGCACTGCAGCCTGCAGACACCCGAGGAAACCAGCTTCGAAGTAAACTGTGTATAAACCATTGCGTGAGGAAACTATAAATTACCTCTTAATTATGCTGTATTAGCAGTACCCATGAAGACTTAGAGAATGCTGTTCAAATATATCTTTTGCATGGGGACATTACAGCCATTAAGGACTTTATTAAGAATACCCCACAAGCCTCACCACAATAAGCATTTGGAGAGTGCTTCCTGGGTAGATGCATTCTTAAAAATAACAATGTTTTCCATTCTCACGCCTTTCTTGCATATCACATTGTTTTGTCCTAAGAGGGGGCTTTAGTTAGTCATTCATTCGTTTATACTTATTACCGCTCTAGTGGAGTGTACTGCAACGTGAGTTTTACATATCCAGAGATAACACAATGGAGTCGACTTAACTAACCCTGACTGATGTAGTCAGCGTTAAATGGCACTATGACAGTGGTTATCAGCTCAGTAAGTTGACATAGGGTTTCTTAACCAGAGTCTGTACGTGTTCACATAAGCTAATGGAGTTATACTTACACAAAAATGTTCTGAGGTTCAGAGAGATAACTTGATGTCTGCCCAACCAATCGGATGTCTTTGTCCCGCCTCCTCTAGTTGATTGGAGCCACCTCCTCTTATCTAACGGAACCAATCATTTTTTGTTCTGCTCCCAAAACTCTCAGGAGCTTCACATAAAAGGGGCCCCTTAACTAAATATTCGGGATGGGCAATATCATTTCTTTCCGATCAGATTGGGTTTTAATAGCCATTTGTAACCCCCTCTGGAAAATGTAGTCTGCCCCTGGCAAGGGCCGCAAATAGCTGCCATAAAATATCAGTTTTTTGGTGAAAGGGCAGTTCAGAACTACATTCTTGGTGAAACTTTGGGACATACACCTTTTTTAAGCCAAAAGCTTATATTTACTGACTTTGTTAATAGTTATATGTACAATTGTGTAACCGTTGGGTTGCTCCTGCTCCAAAGATGCTTCTACTCATACCGGAGCATTGACTGTAAGCTGTCTTACCAGTGTAAAAGTGCAGTACAATTCATAGGACCCAAAACTCGCACTTAAGCTCTCACTATGCCAGTAAACTTGTTTCATGGCGTGATTTATATATTAAGTTTTGTATTTGCCTATTCTTGGCAATGCCTTGCAAGGAGGAGATGCAACTCAGGAGGAACAGAGGCTCCTTTTTGTAGCAGGAGGCATTGCAAGTGTAATGAAGCTTAACGAGGAACGGATCCTTTAGGAGAACGAGACATCCAGCTGCTCGTCTGAAGACCCACAGGAAGTTCAAGGCAACTGAGTTTTTAGTGTTCTTTTATGAACTGACAAAAAACAGCCACTGCACTTCAGAGCTCTGTAGTCGGTAATTTATTTGGTAGAGGTCATCAAGCAAATCCGAAAAGTAATTAACTTCTTTTTTTAATGACCCGAGGAAAATCATTATGCTTTCCGAGATTTTAATTCAGCGGGGTACTAGCTTTCAGGTCTATTAGCTGGCTTTACCATTCGGTACAAAGAGAGATGAGCTTTCCGTGTAGGCAAGTAAATGAGCTCCGCTTCAATCGGTATGCTGGGCGCAGCGTCTGTTACGTAATACCGCTCTATTCCACAAAAGTGCTCGCTGTTCACATTTTGCAGATATCTTTTTGATAGCAGGTAATAATTGTTGTATATGCGGCTTGCACACAAGCTAAAAACTATTAAATGGAAGTAGTTAAATATATTTTTAAGATGAACTGTTAAGGGCAGTGTGATGCCTCAGTGGGTTGTGGGTTCTCTACTCACTTTTGTGCACATGGGGCTCGACAGTTTCTCCCATGTGTTTGTTGGTTTGCTCAAAACAGGACAGTTGTGACCTAGGCTCTCTAAATTGCCGGTTTAGTGTGAGCTTGCACATGGCCTCTGACGCAGTAGCGTCCTGTGTTAGCCTCTGCGCTTGTCCTGACTGCATTGTAAAGGTCATTTGGAAAATAATCATCATATCATGATTCAATGTCCAGTACTAAGATACAGAAGCTGTCCTTTTGTTACTCTTTCCTTTTGCTCTACTTTTTCTTAAGTTATGTATTATTTTTCTTTCCCTGTTTTTCTCTCTCTATCTGACTCCCCTTTTTTTCCTCTTCTCTCTTCTCTTTCTCTCTTTTCCCCTCTCCTCTTTCTCTCCCTCCTCTCTTCCTCTCTTTATCTCTCCTATTTCAGTTAACTTTCCCTGTCGGCTCTGACGTAATGGCGCAATAATCTAAAACGGTGAATAAAGAGTATATCTCAAGTAACAAGAGGAGCTTAATCCGAAGCTCCACTTGTTAAAATAAAAGTGTTGGCACAATAAGGCACCCAGACTAACATCCTGCTTGCTAAACTGCCAGACATGACAGGGGGGGAAAAAAAAGGAAAATAATCATCATTTATTGGAGCATTGTGCTGTATCATGTATATGAACCTGGAATTTCCTTTTGGTCAAGGCATCCCAAAGCCCACGTGAAGACAATGATTAATCCCAGAAAAATGTGGTAGAAAGTGTTGTGAACTCGTGAGCTTAATGACAGGGAATGAGCCAGTAAACAGTATCAAAATGTAGTTGTGATGGTGTCTCAGGGGACTGGACACCATGTTAGTACTGCAGTAAATTGTTTTCCCCCTTTGTCGGGTATAGGTGACTTAAGGAAGAATTGTTTTATTTCTGAACAGATGTATACTTGGTGTGGAAAGGCACCTTTTACCAGGACAGTATTCCAAAGCACACAAGCCGGCAGGGTTTAGTGAATGTTGGCTTGTACCGTGTACGTTATGTGCCATTTGAATATTTCAGCCTTTTCCTTTAAACTTTTCAAAGTTATCTTTCAAAAGTGTCTTATTTGTTTTGTTAATGTGTACCCTGTACATTTTGGGAGAAGCTCCAGAGTCCCCATCACCATGCATTAGCTGAGATGGATTTACTGTAACACATAATACTCTTGTCAGTTTTAGGGTGTTATTTTTTACAAGAAATGCTTAGAAAATAATAAAGTGCTACAAAAGATATAATTGTATGTGGACTGCAAGCTACTCTTGGCATTGTGGTCTTTGTCATTGAAGGTGGTGTTTAACTGTCATTAGCCGTTAAACCCCCATCCATCCTCCAAGCATTTATCCAGTAATGAATCGTGGGGAACTTTTGAACAACTGCAAATGTACACACAAGGTGGAGATAAGAAGAAAACAGGCAGTGTTATATAACTGAGTATCAATTTGCTTATTTGAAACTCACAATCTTGGGCTGTTAGACTAACTGTCAGGCAGTGTGCTGTTTGCATTCACTTTTAATGAGAAAATCCTTTGAAATCCTTTGACCTAGACAGCAAGAGTCACCATCCCCTCTGGTTCCGCAAAGTTGTTTTAGGAGAAATTACTGCTGTCAAAGAGGACCGCTACGTTGCCATGGAAACTAAGACTGGTTGGAAGCAGTTACTCGAGGCAATGATCATGCTCAGACCACTGCTCACAGTATCACAGGTTACAAACGGCTATTAAAACTCACTTAGGTCAAACTACACAGAGCCCCACACCAGTTTATACACTGAGTGGAAACTTAATTTTTCCGCTATGTCAAGGTCTATACATCATTGTTATGTTTCCTCATGTTTCCAAACAAAGATTTCATTTACCATGTGTCCATAACCACAATGTCCCTCCACAACCTAATAATGGAGTAAGTTTTGCTGTACCTTAACTCTTAATTAGCATAGCAGGAGCTAATGCTATTTCCGTGTTATTGTATGTCAATGTGTTTTTTTAATTGAAGATCTGTGATCCCTGTCCTGGATCCTCATCAGGTTTAGATGAGGATCTTGAATGAGTCAAGGCAGAAGAAGCCAGGCTGAAGGAGCCCGCAGTCTGCATGGGTCCTGTTTGCAGTCACGTCAGAGGTGGCATTTATATGCACCTCTGTGCCATAGTCCAAAAGAGCCCCCTAATGACAAGTCATTTGGAAAATAGAGCAGCAGCTACCTCTGTTGCATCAGCAGCTCTGATAATCATCATGCCGACGTTGCAGCAGGTTCTCCGTTAGCCGCTGCTTCCCCCCCGAGCCTCACACTGCACTGTAGCCTCGCTGGGTTTTTCTGATATTGTGAATCCTTCAGCAGGGCTGACATAGCCTTTGAACAGTTTTGGCTCAGAGGCCTCATCCTATTGGCAATGTGGTGTGAAACCATCACTTTTGACAGATCATGGTCTTTAGTTTTATTTGCTAGAGAAGGAGACAGTTTAAATTGATTAGCAGATGGAAACCATCTTAAGTGTTTAGTTGAAACTTTTGGAACAGAGGGTTACCATTATGTTGACAATGGTACCAGTAAAACAGAAGAGTCTGGCTTCTTTACGGAGAGAGAGACTCTCATCTCCACAGCCTGGGTGAAATTACTGTTCACAGCAGAGAGGGGCTGGGCTGCTATCTGACAGGGTTTCAAAAGACTAATACACCCAAGAGTTTGTGGTTCCTATGGTTCTTCTTGCATCAACATGAGATAGATCTTGCAGGTTGGCTGAGGTGCTGGATGATGCCCCCTCTGAGGACTCCATTGATCTACTTCCATCAATGGACTTTAACACCCACGTGGGTAATGGCAGTAAAACCTGAAAGAGTATGACTGGGAGGAACGACCGGCCAGATCTGACCTTAACAGCTCTCTGTTGTTGGACTTGGATGCTATCACTAGATATTGTTGGGCTGTCTTTGTCCAATGTCAGGAGGGACACTATGAGCTACTTGAGGTTTTACAAACTGCTTTAAAACTGAAAGGTTCCTGTGTTCAGCCGAATTGTTTGTTCACATTGTATTTTTAGTGGTTATTTTCCTTGATTGAAAGACTCACCCAGCTGTTTCACATTCATATCAGTGACAAATCAGCACACAGCAAGTGAAATCCTGGTCCTTTTAATTGAAACGGTTGAAATGGTAGTTTACAAACCCTGCTGTAGTTCATAGTGTCATAAATATTTGAGTTCCAGAAGGCTCTGGGTATTGTTGGGCTGTTTCAGTTGACCCGCCTCTTCAGCATTGCATGGTGGTTGGGGACAGTTCCTCTGGATTGACAGACTGGGGCAGTGATCCAGATCTTTAAGAATGGCCAGTGTTGTGCATTTCAGGTCCAGAAGCTACATATCCAGACCAAGATTTTGTTTCTAGCAACCAGCTGAGCACACAGTCAAAGAGTACTGAACTAAGACATCATCACCATGGACTCTAATTGGGGAAATATCAAAAAGACTTAAGACACCATTACCATTCCCAAGCCACTGAGAAGGAATGTGAGTCTATTCAGAGCCATTTAAAGATGAGCCTGATTCACTGGGGTGAGCGGCCACTGTAATTTGTTTAAAAGTTCTGTACCTTTAAGGACTGCCAAAATACATCATGGCCCACAAGGAAGAATCTGTGGGCCCTCAAAGTCCTCCTCTGCATTTTTTTTTGTGTCACCCAGCCGTCAGCGAGGCTGGATAGGGCACAGCCGTGACGGGAAAGCCGCTCTTCTCCGAGACCCGGAGGTTTCTGTTCCGTAAATAGCACTAGGTGATGCCCTTGTGTTGAGCCCCCCTTCAGAAACAGATGGCAGATGAGAGGATGCATTATTCATGGCAGTGACACCAACGCGGCACCCTGTGATTCCAGCCACACACCATAGCAGACATGTTTGCCACTCTGGGATTTTGACATTCCAACAAGTGCCTGGAGATCGATGCCAGAGTTGCCGTTAGTATTAAAATGATGGATTTTCTTGCAGCAATGGCTTGTGTTGTGAGTTTCCATAGCTGCCTTTTTCAAAGATAAATAAAAAGTTGCCTTTCTGTCATCATAAGGCCCCATAATTTAGTCTAGTTTTATTCCTTAACCTCTTCAGCACCAACCCACCGTACATCTGCCTCGCTCCCCCTGCACGGTAATCCCAAATTCTCCCTGCCTGGATTCAGTATCTCTCTAGCTTTAACAGTCATTCATCTCAACACATCAAGATAAACAGGCTCGATATAAAACTAAGTATCCATGGTGTTTTGCATGGGCCAGAGATGCATGATAAAGCAAATGAGTAAATGGCGTTTCTATAAGGACATGGAGAGTGGACATCAGGTTAGCGCAGAGCGCAGAGCTCTAACCTGGGTTACAGTGTGTCCGGCTGTAATCCAGTTTAACCAGGCATGTTTGATGTGGGAGGCTTGCAATCTGCGCTTTTTAGTGTTTTACTCTCCAACTACCCGTCTAATATTAATTGCACTCATGTCGCAGCAGATCTGCTGCTTGTTATTAGTAATCTGGGGACAGCCCATAATCCTTATGTTTAATTGACGTTATTGATGCAGCCCTGGGATGACGCCCGAAAGCCCCCCCCCCCCTCACCCCCCCCCCCCCCCAGGCCCCCCATAGCTTCTCGCATCAGACTTGCGCAGGGTCTCGAGCCAGCCAATAGCGGCTCACGATGGCTCGCTCTCCATCAGTTGGCCCCGCCTCCTCCAGCCCCCCACCCACTCAGGGTGCTCTGGCTGAGCCGCGCATCAGAGCAGCGCGGCAGTGAGCGGGAGAGCACGGCGCCCCAGCATGCTGCAGTGTGTGCAAGGTAAGGACGAGCGGCGCCTCTGGGGATGTAGGGAAGCGAGAGAGCCGCCGGGGGTCTGCCCCTTTTACCAGGCGCCATTTTTATGGGTTTCAGACAGGCAGGCCACTAGCCTTTCCTCCTTCCGCACTGTATGTACGTCGAGCCTCCTTGATTTCTCCACCAACTCTGGTTCGTAGGGCTCTGGAGCCCTGGCCTTTATCTGTGGCTCTCTGGCACCTTTAGCCAGGAGGTAGAGCGAGGCCGGGCTGTTTGTCGGACTCGCCTGTCCTCTTCGCGATGCTCGGCAGGGTTCCTCGCCTCGTCTCCATCTGATCCTGATACTCTGCTTACTACTTGTAGGTTCTCAAGTGCCAGCAGGCTTGTTGCTGCTGTTTCTGCTGCCACCTCCGGGGGAGACAGTGGGTTTGCAATCCAGCCATTCAAACTATTGATTCTTGTTCTTGTTTCAACCCCGCAGCCAATGGGACTCCAGGCAGCCAGCTGTCCACTCCCCGGTCGGGGAAGTCTCCCAGTCCGTCCCCCACCAGCCCGGGAAGCGTTCGAAGGCGTCGGGTAAGATATCCGCTTTCACACACGTACGGCAGCAGTGGCAGCGGGAGGACAGGAAACTTATCAACATGCTGAAACTGCTCACAGACGCACCGGGTTACGATGCTCCATGTTATGGCATTTTGACATTTTACGATGGCTATTCCAATTCTATTTTGTTTTTCACTTTCAGTACATTATTCAATAAATTACACGAGATATTCAACACTTTATTATAAAATAGGCTTTGTGTTAATTTTGCTCAACTGTAGGCTAATGTAAGTTTTCTAAGCATGTTCAAGGTAGGCTAGGCTAGGCTATGAATGTTTGTTAGGTTAGATGTACTGTATTAAAATGCATTTTCACCTTATGATATTTTTGCCTTATCGGAACATAACCCCATCGTAACCTGAAGTGCTTCTGTATAATGATAGAAATATTAAGTCCTCAAACTGAAATAGTCCCACTGCCTTTTTACAAACGTATTCATGGGTAAATACTTTAAACATCTGCCTCATTAAGACCTATTTGTATACAACAGTGAATCAAAACATTTTGAACACCCCCATGTGAAGTGAATAATATTGAACATCTCATACAAACAGTGTGTGTCAAGGTCAAGAACATATTAGATGTTAAGCTATCATTCGGTACTCATGGTTGGCATGTTGAATGCAGAAGAACTTGATGCACCGTGTTTCGTGACACATTACTCCTGTAATCGTCATTCGATTTATCAGCGATCTGAGCTGCAGTAGCCCTTCAGCTGCTTTGTACCAGAAGGGATCGCCTTCGTTCACATCTCACCTCGACGAGCCCAGCACCCTGTCAGTGGATCATAATGTTCTGGTTCATTGGTGTATTTAGTCAAGTAATTCTGGACCTTTCTCAGGTTGATTGCTTAACTTGGTACTCTTTCTCTTGGTGCTGGTCAATGTCTCCCGGCCTGTACCTTGTTCCCCTCAGTGCTGGTTCTGTTTGCCAGCACACCAGCCTGGCCTCTGGGTCCTAGGCTGTCCTTCCTTCCTCTTGGTTCTGGTTCTGTTTGTCAGCATGCCGGCCCGGTTGCCGTCTCCCGGCCCGGTCCTCATTCTGCACGGCTGCCACTGGAGCCGGGAATCGAGGGCAGTGCTCATATCGGCGCACAGCAGCTCTCTCATGCCGTGCTATTCTAGTGCAGGTGTCACGGCTCCTCGCGCTATTTCTGGTATTGCTTTAACTCCTTTGTACCTCCTTTAACTCCTCTGTACCACCTTTAACTCCTCTGAGCGCTGTGGTAGCTCCTGATGAGGCCTCTGAATACCCACAATATATGCAGAGCGCTGTGTGCGTGCGGTAAATCGGGAGGAGAGTGTTATGCTTTGGGTGGGGGTTACACTGCGTAACTGTGGCTGCAGATACTCTGCCGGGCCAAAAAAAAAGTCGCCATTTGAATTTCTTGTTGGGCCGCCTTTAGCTTTGATTATGGCGCACATTTGTCATGGCATTGTTTCCACAAGCTTATGCAACATCTCATCCTTTATTTTCATCCAGATTTGCATTCATTTCTCACCAAGATCCTGTATTGACAAGTGAGTTGAACCTCCATAAAGCCTCCTTCATCACATCCCAGAGACCTTCAATGAGGTTAAGGTCACAACTCTGTGGTGACCAAGTCATGCTTGAAAATGATTCCTCATGCTCCCTGAACCACTCTTGGACAATTCAAACCCAATGAATCTTAGCATTCTTGTCCTGGAATATGCCCATGCCAACAGGGAAGAGAAAATCCATTTATGATGGATGGAGGTGTAACCTGGCCATTCAGTAGATTCAGGTACTCAGCTGACTTTACTTTATTGCTGCATAATGTTGCTGGGCTGTAATAATGATCCAGTCATTGGCTTTTAAGTATTTGCTGATATAAATTCAAATGGTGACCTTTTTTTTGGCCGGGCAGTGTATTTACACACAGTATATGGGCAGCTAAACTCTATACAATTATCATTCTATTACTTAGGAAAATACCATCATTTAATATGCAACATTTTCTGAGCAATTCAGCCATTGTAGCCAGCCAGGTAGAGCAGGCCTCAAATATCAATTATCCTGCCAAGGGTAGAGAGGTGTAATGATCCAGCACTTAATCCGATGCAGTCAAACAACAGCAAAAACATTACACCGGGTTCTTAGCTCGTTTTCACTTGTATTTTGGACCAGGGTGTTAGCAACAGGCATATAAGTGGCTTATTTTGTAAAATTGTTGTGAAATAGACCTGGACTCATCTCACAGTATTTCAATTCCGCTTCACTTGACTGAACCGTAAGTATACAGCAGTTTGTATTTCACATTTGACTGGAGGCCAAAGCCTTATCTGTAGCTTCACTGCACTTTATCCCACAATTTGACCGATTTGTGGGTTAAAACTCATTACTATAAAAGTGACAGAGTCGTCATTTGAGCTCAATTCTTCCCTCTTCTGTGATGCAACTTCCTTCGGCATCATCTTAGCCTTTTGGGTGTTGATCGGGAAAATGTGCCTCTATCATAAATGTTACATAAGATGGTAACTTAAGGGAAGTTTTGTAAATATGGGGGTTACAACAGAAAGGTGAGTTGGGTATTTGCAAATCTGATCCATCTCACACTAACAGGACTCTACTGCCACCTACTGGCCAACTTAAAACAGCCATAAAGCCATTCCCACTCGACTCCAACTGCACAATTTGTCAGGATCTCACTTACAGGCAAAGTCTTAACTGCAGTGATCTTACTGCAGGCTCAGTTTCTAAGCTTCGTAAACTGTTCAAAGCCTCGACCTGCGCCTTTGCTGCCTTTATCTGTCTGCCTGCTGTTCTTCTTTCATCCTGATCTTTCATCTGCGAGAGATGAAGGGAGCTGCTCTCGCTGCAGAGATTCTGACCTCGGTGCCAGCTCTCCCCATCACGACAGAGAAAGCCATTCTCATCTCACTGCTGTAATTGTGTTAATGCTTTCCGGGGGGGCATGGAGGTCATGGAGAGGGTGCAGTGGGCAGTGCATTAATCAGACAGCCATGCCGTGTGATCTCCCTTTTATGGAGGATAATCCTGCTTCTGCACAGAGATGTAGGTCTTGAAAGGTGCCTAGTAACTCCATAATAATATGGGAAACGGTGCTTTGACATTACCAGTGGCCGGTAGTCATATGTGAAATAAATCACTGTCTGGTGTCTCAGAGTAACTCGTCTGGTGTAGCTCAAAGGACCCAGTCTGTGACTGACAGAACATGGCAAGTCTGCTCATCTGAGGGTCAGTTAGCCTCCGTTCTCACATAAGAACATAAGAACTATACAAACGAGAGGAGGCCATTCGGCCCATCAAGCTCGCTTGGGGAGAACTTAACTAATAGCTCAGAGTTGTTAAAATCTTATCTAGCTCTGATTTAAAGGAACCCAAG